TCTTTAAGAACGTGGTAAAATATTGGGGCTTACCAAGGCATATCATCAGTGATCGAGACCCCTGCTTCACTGGGAACTTTTGGAGAGAGTTGTTCGACAAACTTGGCACAGAATTGCACTTTTCTACTAGTTTCCACCCATAGACGGATGGACAAACGGGACGGGTCAATGCCTTAATAGAATGCTACTTGAGGCATTATGTAAGCGCGCACCAGAAAGATTGGGCAAGGCTCTTATACATCGCCCAATTCTCTTATAACTTGCAGCGGAGTGAGTCCACAGGGCGGACACCATTTGAGCTAGCCACAGGCCAACAACCACAAACTCCACATTCATTACCAGCCGTGTCCGAGGGAAAGAGTTTGGGGGCTTATCATATGGACAAAGGATGGGAGGAACAGCTTGACACTGCTAAGTCATACTTGGATAAGGCAGCTAAGAAGATGAAGAAGTTTGCGGACCGTAAGTGGCGTCCCACATACTATAGAGTTGGGGACATGGTCATGGTGAAGTTTAACCCAAGGCAGTTCAAGGCACTACGGGGCATGCATCAGAATCTGATTCGCAAGTATGAGGGGTCATTTAAGATCATCGCCAAGGTAGGCAAGATCTCATACAAGCTTGACATGCCATCGTATCTTAAGATCTACCCTGTCTTCCATGCCAGCATGCTTAAGCCATATCATGAAGATAAGGATGATCCGAGTAGGGGCCAATCAAGTTGGGCTCCAATGACTATTACCGCCTCGCATGATCGGGAGATTGAGGCTATCATAGATTACCAGGCCAGGCAAAAACAAGGGCAAAAATCCACCGCTATGTTCCTCGTCCATTGGAAAGGGCAATCACCGGAAGAGGCCACGTGGGAACGATATGAAGACTTGTGGCAATTCAAAGATAAGATCCGAGAGTTTATGCAGCAACATTGCGCCGTGGTCGTCGCAATATTGGGTGGGGAAAAGTGTGATGACCCGCCATGTCATCATGCCATATAGGCGCCATTTGGCATATATTAATGTCATGTGGAAGCTTACATAAGAAGAATGCTAGCATTTGTGAGAAGATTCTAGAGAGGTATGGACATTTCCTTAGGAAGAACCTAGATCCTTATGGATTTGCTAGGAAAGTCCTTGGAATCTTCTAGGCTTGTAGAGAATTCTAGAAAAAGCCCTTATCTTGTAAATATCAAGGACTTGTGTAATAATTAATATTTACACACTAGCCCCTAGAAAACTAGTATATAAAGGGGGTCATTCATTTGTAATTCATCAAGCAAACAATTCAAGTTCTCTCTAATACAATTCTCTTAACAATTCTCTTGTGTTCTTTCTTCCATTCTCTTAGCGATCTTGAGTGTAGCAAGGCTGACTTGACATAGCAAGAACGTGAGCAAGTTGTGCAAGATCGTGAGCGAGTTGTCAAGTGCCGCACGTGTACTTGGTTAACAACTAAGGACGTGACAGTAGTCACTTATTATAAGTATAGCCTCCAATTACATGTAGTCTTCATGTAATGACAAATTACACATATAGCCTCCAATTACTAAAGTAGCCATCAATTGACATCCAAAAATCATGTATAAAACATCATCACATGGAGTCATAAAATCTCCCAAGTAAGCACAAAGTATGACTCTTATAAACTTAACAAACAAGAAAAATGAATTGGGTAGTCCAAACATAGAATCATACCACATGTATAGAGCATATTTAGATCTACCAACTCTCATATAATTCAATGTCACTTCGTGCCAAGAGTCAAAATAATCAAGCTCAATTTTTTAGCACCAAGAAATAAAATATAAAACATCTCATGCTTACAGACAAATGTGCATGGTAAAGACACTTAACAATAAGACTCATGCACCATTTTAATCCAAAGAGCTCTACCACATGAATCAAAGCGAACATTCTTGAAGTATAACCAAGCATCCTTGAGATCAACAAAGAATATATTTCCCAATAAAATAATAGGCATTTGGATCAAACGCAAACCATCATAGAATGAATCACCGGGATCAAACACATATTATTCCCAAATAATCTCTATGTTGGCAACTTGGCAACTCACAACATGAATATAATAGCAATATTAATAAATCATAGTCATTAAGTACAAAGCTGCTACTATGACATTCAAGGGTATAGCAATTACCTCCACGGCTATAGAAAGCCCAAAAATAAGCACTAACCAATCAAACATACCATTATTACCTTAGATAAGCATTAAAGTTTTAAAACCTTTTGTTGGACCATTTAGTAGCTTCAAGCATCTATCTCTCTTATGGTTCCCTGTTTGATAATCCTTTACAAAGAAGTTCAAGATATTAGTCAAGTCACCACAAGAAGATTTATCACATTTAAAATTAAATAAGTTATTTCATGCTTCAATTAGCACTAAAGCTAGCATCAATTAGCACTAAAGCTAGCATCAATTAGCTCACTCTCATTTTTATTAAAAACTTCTTCATCCTTGAGAATAGCATTAGGACTTTCCTTCTCAAATAAACAAGTTAACTCCTCATTAAAAAATTTCTCTTCAAAGGAACAAGAAAACTCTCTATTAATATCCTTCACAATAAAGAAAGAAGGAGTCAGGTTGTTCAAAGAATTAGATTCATCCTTCCTGTTGCACCAAGTAAAAATAAGTAAGAATCATTCACACCAAACGTGAAAGATTCATGTTCACTCTCAAACACACAAGATTCTTGACTTACTTGCAAACTAAAATAATTATCCAAAGATGGATCCACAAAGCTCATCAATTCACTTTTACAAAGATTCATGTCCTCACTAATTTGATTATACAATGAATACATAACTTCACAAGATGAAGAATTCCAACAATAAAACTCATTAGCCAAGAGCCTTTCATCCTCTCTCAATTTTCACTCTCAAAAGTATTTCTTATAGCTAAAGAAGAAGTAAATTCATTTTCATGGCAAACATTCAAAGAAACACATTCAAAATCATGATTCCCAACCAATGACACAATACTAGTTTGAAGAATTTCAAATTCACAATCAATAGTAATTTTAGCCCCCAGATTATAATCAACTAGTAGGTGGTCATAACTTTCCTTTTGCATGTCAAGACAAAGTAAAGAATCATCAATATCACAAGTAGTTAGATTATCGCTCACAATCAAGTCACTAACAATGTCATTTGAAGTAACCAGAAAGTTATGACTAGCTCTTTTACCTTGAGAAGCAACTACTGAAACTTTTTTACCTCGGTCTTCCAAATTTAAGCTCACTTGCTTATTTGATGAAGTACATCAACTTCTTTTGCATTGCCCAAGTCATGAAGTTCTTCCCGTGTTTTCTCATCAATTGGCTCATATTCACAATTGCCAATACAAGAATTCAAATAACTAAAGGAAGAGAGTTAAAAAGATTAGAGTTAGAATAAGATATACTCTCTCATACACTCTTGTTTTTGTCTGATCTCTTTCTGTTTTCTCTTACTCTTTTCAATTTTCTTCTCATTCTTTGCTTTTATTTTGCAACTTATGCTCAATCTTTGGATCTTCCATGGGCAAAGGATTGATACCTCCTAACACATCTATCCAATGTTCTTTGAATTTTAATAAAGAGTTAACTTTCTTGAGATCATTGGTCAACACTCCCAATTGTTTCAATAATTGTTCCATCATGGCTTCCATTTTATTAGGAAGACCCTTCACTAGTTCTCATCATTCCTACAAAATAAACAAACAAGTTAGTCGAAATAAGGACTACACGTTCATTCTCTTAGTGTTTACACTAATTATAAATGTCACTCAAGTTCACTCGTGTATGCACTCAAGATCGTAGGCATTCAAGGCCGTCACTCAAATATTCTCACCACTCAAGACTCTTACCGCTCTATGGTATTTGCCAAACTTACTTTCGAACTCGACAAGAGTATTCAATAAGTAACCCTTCCACTTTGAGGTCGGAGTGGAATATATATTGACACGAAAGAAAGGCACAATAAAAGCAACAGACAAGAGTAAAACACTTCACAACGAAACAAAAAGATAATTAGCACAAAATAATGACACAAAATTGAAAAACGAGTTAATCACAAGTAGGAACAAGTTACTAAGTATTAACTAGCCTATGAAGGTTTTTAAAATTGAAAAGGAATGAAAAGACACAAGTTCCGACCCAAAAACCAAACTCAAAACCTTCAAAACTTCTGTTGAGAAATTGCTGATGCCCACTCCACGATGGTGAATGTGGCCACGATTGGCTCCACGATTCACTCCATATTAAGAAATTGTAACGACTCAATGTTTAGTGTTGAGTCTAGTTGCAATCGTGGAGACAAAATTGAATCGGCTCCACGATCTTGGATATTCTCCAATCTATAGCAAATGTTCAAATTTTATCCAAATGCACGAACGGGTCCAATTTATAGAACAATTTTTTTTGAATTTTCATTTTTTGTGTGATTTTCAAATAAAATCAAATACTTAGCTAGTGTATATATTAACAAACACCAATCCAAGCTCTGATAGCCAATGATACCAATCTAAAAGTGGAAAACAAGAAATTAAAGATAAATGATAGAATTTGAGAATAGACAAATAATTGATAAAAATTAATCACCCAACAATTACATAACAAAGTTAACCTAAACTATAGGAATACCTTGAATAAAGTTGTCATCAACAATGCAAACCACCATTACACCTGTCAAAAGATTATTTATCATTCATCAACATTAGTCCCCCTAAAATGAAAGCCTTAAGGGCTACTTATACTAGATTGAGTAGTTGATTGCAAATGACCCAAATACCCCTAAGCTAATTCTAAGGAACTAACTGTGTTCACTTATTACAAGTATAGCCTCCAATTACATGTAGTCTCAATTGATGGAAAATTACACATAACCTCCAATTGCAAAAGTAGTCATTAATTTATATCCAAAGCGTATGTTGGCTATTTTGGGTCGTATCACTATCCCTCTAAAATATTAATTATGTAAAAGGTGCCAAACTTTCCTTGTCTGGATAAAGAAACCCATAATCTTTATCTATTCTCAGTCAATAATTTGCTAAAATAAAGAAACCAATATCGATCCAACAAAGACAATAATATCTGAACTACAGTCTACTTTGTAGATAACAAGTGATGAATAATTCTTGTGTCCACATTATCCTGCAATAAATAGACAAGTCAGAAAGTTTGTTATTTAGAGAAAAAAAAAGTAGTGTAAAATCGGTGATCCCATTTGTTGTATTAAATATTAAAATGGAACGTGAGGATGACAAGGAAGCATTCTGGCTGGCTGCTATAGATCCACATATGGATGACAATGATATGCCTTCACCTAATTAAAGCCGCTAATGGTTTCCTTTCCAAATCCATGTGCTCCACTAGTCAAATTTTCATAGGATATGCCAAATTTTACTAGCACACAGACAAAACCTCCTAGCTGTGGCAGTTACTCTCTGCTTAAACTTTAAATTAATTAGCTCTGTTTAAACAAGCTTTCCAAACAAAGTTATAATCAATCATATATGTCTCAATAGAGGCGGATCCAGAATTCAAACCCTATGGGTTCAACTTTTAAAATTTTTAGCATTGAACCTATTATATTTTTAAAGTTATGGGTTCAAATATATTATTTTTATAATTTTTTTAAATTCTTACATATAAATTTTTACTTCGTGTTAAATGTTATGAGTTCAATTTAACCTGTCGGTGATACACTATATCTGCCCCTGGTCTCAATCCCAGAATATCTAAAACGAGTTCTATTAGTTCAATTGTATCTCTTTTTATCGGCTCGAACTATGCATGCATATAAAAAGTACTTATAAGAGAATGTATATATATAAAGATTTATTGTGAACTTATTAACTTCAAACATCTTAAATTCAACCGCGCTCGATCCTAAACTACTCAATGTCAGTTATTCATCATATTTTATCTATTTTGCGCTAATCGCCAATCTACTAACTCTCCTCATCTATTTAAGCTTTGGATTAACTATACTATTTGAGACTCGCATAAGAGGAGTTCAAGGTACGAAGTCGATATTTCAAAAAAATTCTGAGTTGTTGTGTGGATTATAGTATATCTTTGGCCTCTCTGTTTGGTGCTCAAGAATTAAAAAACTTCTAAATTTGTCATTTCATCACCAAGGAAAGCATAAAAAATGTCAACAATGGCTTTCCACAGTTGTGGTAATTTTCTCACAAATTCTTGCTCTAAAATGGGAAGTCTCTCCAGACATCTGAGTATTTCAGCTTCCTGGACAATGTCAGTAAGTCCATCCATTTCCCGATCGAAAACTCCATCGCATTTATTATACATAAGAAAGTAAAGATCAACCTCTGATTAATTACTTTAAGCAGGTCACTGGATCAAAATTCCTCGGGCATAGGGAAGAAAGAAGTATCTACAGAATTCCATCGATATCCGGTTCTGCAGTCTCAGTCTGAGACAAGTTACAGATCAAATCTCCATTTTGATAGAATGCAGCTTCCAGATGAAGTGTTAGACCAGGAAAACAGGCTCGAATTTGGTCAGTTCATGGCACGTGAAGCCATTCTTGATGAAGAATATTGGGTTAGTATCATTTTTCCACAATCTTTAATGAATGTATGTGTTCAGCTTCAGTTAATGGCTAAGCTGCAGTCAAAGCTGTACGTGTTTTTGACAGACAGCAGCATGGCTGAGAGCAGAGTCTCATTGGGAAGACCGCCAAAATGATCGGTATGTACACTGTTCCATGATACTACTATAAGTTTCTCATATATTCAATCTCTTAGTGTTCAAGAAAACTGGAAAACTAGGCATACCGATCATTCAACAGCCCATGTTCCTGCAGCAAACTGATATAAAGCAATCAATCAATCAACTTTGCCTCATGAATTAGCTAATCAGGATCAGCTATACAAATTCGCTATATCCATTTTTTTGTAGGATCCATCATATTATGACTATTTTTATGCTAGGACTGGCTATATTCTGCCATCAATCACACTCCTACTTTGTTTAAATTTGAGAAAACTCGGAAAGGCCAGAGTTAAAAACCATAGACGATCCTGCATTAAAATTAGACATAGATTCATCTGGTTGAAATAAAAAAGAAATGTACCAGCAACACATTGATAAGCACCTATGCTTCAATAAACAATCAGTATGAAGAAAGTCGATCCAAAGAGTAGTAGGTTGTAAGGTTTCCCATTTATAAGAAGCAACGACTGCATGAGTGACTAAAATCAACTTTCTCTGATTATGCAGATACATCAATAACTATAAAAGGAAATATGCGGAGCAGGTAAGGGTTAGCTATTTTACCAATTATCCAGGAAAAGCTTATGCACAGTGCATAAAATCTTCTAGTCCCATTATGCAGGAGTTTAATGCTCTGAAAAGGAGATGTAAAGCACATATCGGGCAGAGATGTACTTGCATTGTTACGGTATAAATTCTGGAACTTTTCTTCGCTGCATGTTGTTTTTCCAAAATTACTCTTCGTTCTTGCAAGACAAGCTTTATATATACTTCTTCCACTTCATTAGTTTAAAAAAAAAAAAAAGATTATATGTTATATATATCATCAGAGAATTTTAATAACTCTATTCTGTTGACATCAACAGGTGAGAAATGAAGAACAGAATATCAGACATACAGTACTTAAGAGTGTTGTTGGGACTCTAGATTTGATGATTGGGCACTTGTCACAGGGAGAGGATTTTCCTGGGGTATTCTGGTGTACCTTAAATAAAAAGATAGTGGTAATCTTTTATTTCAAAGATTTGAAAGTCTTCTATTCTCTTCCACAGGAAAGGGTGAATGCGCAAGTTTTCTGCAACACTGAAAGAAGATCCTCCAACAGATATGGTTATATTGCAAATTTATGTGTTGCCAAATCTGCTCGAAGGCAGGGTATTGCAAGAAACATGTTACATTTTGCTATTAGATCCGCGAAAGCAAATGGTAAGGAATTAGGATGCACCAATTCCATAATTGCTTGAATCATCAGAACACCTAAATCTGTTGTTTGTCTGACAGGTGCAGAAAAGGTGTTCGTGCATGTACATACAGACAACGGACCTGCACAAAAGCTGTATCAAAAGGTTGGCTTTGAGGTAATATAAACCAGAAAAATCAGTTATAACTCCAGTCACTCTTCTGGTTTTCTTTTACATGATGAAGCCCAAATTCCATTTATGCTTGTCTTATACCAGGTTGTTGAAGTGGCAAATCTTAAACTCTCAGAAGAGCAACCTCACTTGCTTTTACTCACAGCATGAAACACATTCAATGCAAGTCAACTTCTTTGTTACTTTTTACCTTCTTTTTTTCTGACATACTTGGGGGGCATATCCTGCACATCTTATTAGCTCCCAACATGCAAAAAGTTCACGTATATTTAGTAATGAAAGCTTCAGTTGTGATTAAATAAATCATTCATGTTCTGCTTATGAGGCACAAAATTTGAGAGGAAGAACTAATCAATAAGTTTCCAATGATACATCATGTCTTGTTTGACTTTCTGAAATTGACATTTTTCGCGAGCACATAGATTGGGGGTTTAAATGGAACAGTTGGTCAGTATTATATTTATCAGCTGAAGATTACCATAAATTCTGCAAGCACCTAGTAAAGCACCTCAAAACATCCACATCAGGTTAAATAGGCATGTTGCAGTTGGCCAGCTCGTCCTTGAAGATCAAGCATACAAGCACATTGCTCAACTCAACGCATTATCAATTACTCCTTTGTCTTTTTTTCAAACTGCTTCCTTCTTTCCTCTATAAGACTTGACTGCTGACAATCAGTCAAACCAGCAGCGAATGTGAAACTATTAGTTTGATTTCCTTCTTGTTTCATCATTGAGAAGAGTTCAAGAACATCTGCCCCATGCCCATGAGAGCACAAGTTCCAGTAAATGTCTAGGATACAACATATTCCTGAGACAACCTGTCAAAAACATCCCATGCTAGTTCTATAATCCTATACTTAAGATACATACGATAAGTCTGTATACGGCAGAGCCGTCAGTATGGGCTTGGCCCGTTGGGGCAGCCCAACCCAGCCCGTGATTTAGCAGGGCTGGGCTAGAATTTTTGGAGCCCGTTTAAAAACGAGGCTTTTAAGCCCGGTCGGAGTAAGCCCGTGGCCCGTGAGGCTTGACTGAGGCTGGGTTGGGCCGGCCCGTGGGCCTAATAAAATATTTATTTAAAATATATAAAAAATAAAAAGTATACTGCCTTTAGAGATGGAAAGTCAGAATTTGATCTTTACTAAAAGGAACCAAAACTTGATCTTGAGAAGTTTCAAGAGATGATGTCGTCATGTATTGGAAGGACCATTCTAGAAAACATCCCGATCTTTCAATGATGGTGCGTGATGTACTTAGCATTCTTATTGTCATTGCACCATCAAAATCAACATTTAGCATTGATGACGTGTTNTGGATTCAAATATGTTTGATGAAGATGATGTGTTGGATATCTTATAAGCATCATGAATGTTCTCTTGAATAGTTTGTTTTATGTTATTATATTATGAGTCTATCAATAGTACTAATATATCGTCACTTGGTGCTTTCTTGAGCTGAGGGTCTCCTGGAAACAGTCTTTCTGCCCCTCGGGGTAGGGGTAAGGTCTGCGTACATACTACCCTCCCCAGACCTCACTTGTGGGATTATACTGGGATGTTGTTGTTGTTGTTATTGTTGTAGTTTGTTTTAAGTTTTCACTTTTAGTGAATGAAATATAGTCCTGTCTTTTATTTTTTTTAGTATTTATTGTGATATATTACAATATAAAAAGTTATTAAGTTTTGTGAATTATTTCCAATAAGATATTTTTTAACTTTTAAATAATCATCTTTTTTTTAGGTCATAACTTAAAGAAAAAATATAAAATTATATTTTCAAAAATGATGTGGGGGCCCGCGGCCCACATATGGCTGGGGTGGGCTGACCATTATAAGGCCCATCAAAATGCTGGGCTAGCCCAGCCCGTCAATTGCTAAAGCCCATGTGAGCTGGGCTGGGCTAGCCCGACCCGGCCCATATTGACAGCTCTAGTATGAGGACGTGGAGGTGGAGCCAGGATTTAAAGTTTATGGGTTTTGAACATGCCATGGAACTGATAGCTCATTTTGGTTACTGGATTTGTAATTAAATATTTATACATATTTAATGTATTTATAATACAAATACAAAATCTAAGCAAAAGCTACCTGACTCGTCCGAGACTGTAGCTAATAGTCTAGCTCCCCTCCTGTCTGTATCAAGCACATACGGACAAGCACATGCCAAATAGTAGCAAGTATTGCAATACAATTAAACTCAACCCTTCTATAGCATTCTATGAAATAACATCTAGCTGCACCAGCTTCATTTTGATCTTAAGCAGCAATCATGACGATGACGTTACATGAGACCAAATTATGCTCCTCCATCTGATAAAACAAGGACCTACAATATTAATGCGTCCATGCTTACCATATAATGCATTAAAAAATAAAAACGTTAAGAACATATACAAAGTAAGTTTAGAATGTTGTGCAAACACATCAGAGTCAAATCCATATGTTAGAATGGAATTATCTGCTTCTCTCAAAGCTGACAGCACATAGCAAAAACAAAGCACAAAGGGAATGTATAGCTATCAGGTAAAAGCCCGCCCGCAATGCATGTCTTTGCAAAATAAATAAGTTTGGTGCATATTAGGATGTTGTTGCAGTATCCACTTGTCAAAACGAGTTCTAGCTTCCTCAGTTGCATCCTTACTTTTTAGTTGGTTGGCTGACATGAAACAAGAAATTTGACGTAATCACAAAATATATGGCGTATGCATTTGCACTGCCCAAATATATTTCCCTAAACAAGAATATTCTGTGGAGTGTGTAGTAGCAAATCCTTGTTTGCCTCATAACTCTTAAAAGCAAATGCCTGCAATACATGGAACTCTACAGGCAAATGCTTATTGTAATACACTGCTACTTAAAATATCCTCGGAAATATAACAAAAGTTTGAGCTACATTTACTGTTCAGACATCAAAGAGATCTTTTTTAACATTTAAGTTTTCTGGAAAATAAGAATGTATACTAATTTGATTAGAAGGTTAAGTTCCCCTGATGCTAAAAGGTACTTCATTCAGATTAATATGCTAGTGCAAAACAAACAAAAAGCGAGGCAGATTCTTTTAATGTGTTAAAACTTAGTACAAATATACGTTTTTCAATAAAAATTCAAATATAAATATAGCTCAAGCTGAAAACATAGTATACATCCATCCCACGGGAATATAGAGAAAATTATATCTTACCTCCTTCAGCTGCTCAATTTCCAGCTTAACAGTCACACTCCCCAGAGTTATTTCAGACAATGGCAATAGATAATTTTTTTCTCAAATTCTAAACATACAAGAATGAGAATTACTTAAAGTAGAAACAAATGAAAAGTATATCAAATTACATATCATCTGTTCAACATTTTGTAACTGAACATAAACCATCTGTAACTTAAACAAAGCTATTAGCTAATGTTTTTCTTAAAGTATGACTCTCGTCGGTTAGAAAGGGTAAAGCAACAACACAATTCATCAGCACACTGCAAAGCTAGAAAATGACAGGGCACAAATCACTGCCAATGAGAACGAATATCTTTATGGGTTAGAATCATCACCCCAAATGCGTGATATTTCACTTAGACACGGGAACAGCTTACTCCATATGCATTGACAGACAAAATAGGACCCAATATAACCATCCTTAGAAAAATTATCAGATAAATGACAAATTATGTAGGTTCCAAACGATGTGTTCAAGGTTATAAGTTGTCTTTTAGGGGCATGTTGGGATCGAAATAACATGGTGCATGCGGAAGCTAACAATACAAAGTTTGGTGGACGATAAATCATACGACAAAAGAATTATACTAAAATAATAAGATACTATAATGGAGTTTGGTCAATTGACCTACATATAAAAACTAGTATAAAAATAGAAAACCATTGAAAAAAAAATCTCCCCCTAAACAAGACTCTTTAAAAATTCAGAGCAAAATCCTAACTACATTTTCTGCTGAGATCTGGCTGAAAATACTTTGAACAGAATTACCAAAATGCAGATCCTACCTCTTAATAATGTCACCCTTCTCTAAAGATTCTGTCATTTCAATCCAATTAATGTGAAATTGTGTGGATTTGAGTGACCATATTGAACACAGTGGTAACCTGCAAACTCCCCATGCCTTAAGTTAGTATGTTAACCTCAGTGGCTGAGGCAGTTGCTGCTAAATTTTTTACTCAAACAACGGTTGCTGTTTCTGTACCCTTTAACCTGCTGATTGCAGTTATGAGAAATGTGATGGCCTGTTTGGACTATGTTGTTGCCCTTTACACTGATATTTTCTTTTACACATATGATGTCAATTGGCCAAGGCAGTACATGGTTATTGGCCCTTCGGAAACTTTCAGAAGACTATCGGCCTGGGCTGGTAATTTCTCATGCTGTCTCACTATCATGACAGAAATATACAGATTTTCCATTGTATAATGGCAAGAATGCGACATTCCCAATGGATATACTTCAATAAAAATATTGACATGTAATATTCTATATGCAATTTGAGTTAAGTAACCTTGGATGATGAATTTGATGATGTAAGATCGCATGGAAGAAATTCAGCTTCAAAGTAAAAAAGTTTGAGGATCATCTGGGTGCTTCTATATCAGGAAGTCTGGTTAATTAACGCAAATGGGTTGTTTAGGCTATATTTGGACGGGTCAAGATGAGCTGACTCGTTATTGCCAAAGTTCACTATGTTGTGTCAAAATGGGCTAAATAATTAGTTATAATCCAATCCGCCCAAATTGATCCAAATCTTTGTAATATTCTCAAATTTTAAACAAGCATATATAAAATATTCTCATATATAACAATAATTTTTATTTTCTTATTTCGTAAATATCATTCTGGAATGGTTTGTGATGACTATTTTTCCGTTTTGCTTCTTGTCTTATGTTTTGAAATAAATATCAATTCATGCTTAATGATTTCTTTCCTCAATTTAGATTTAGAACTTTATTTGATAGTTCTTTATCTTATAACAAAGAGCAAAATAATAATAAAAAAAGTAGTTGTTATGAATAGAATTCTATTTAGAGTGAATGTCTATCTTGTAGAGAGTTTAACTTTGTGGCTAAGTCATTTTTCCCCTATAAATAGAGGGGTCTTACCCCATTGTAAATCATCCCAAAATTCAATAAGAATTTACTCTCTTTTTCTCTGCAATATTGTTCTAATACTTTTATTGTTTCATCACACGTTATCAACACGAAACTCTACCGTCTCAAGAAGATTAAGGTACAACTTTTCTCCTCTTTTAAGTATGACTGATATTATGAAAAGAAAGTTCGTTGCCCTTGAAATTTCGGGCAAGAACTATATGACATGGGTGTTGGATGCTGAAATTCATTTAGATGCAATGGGTTTTGGAGACGCCATTAAAGACAAAACTAAAGCATCCACCCAAGACTGTGCTAAGGCCTTGATTTTCTTGCG